TCCCACCCCCTGCATGGGCAGGGACACCTCCCACCAGCCCAGGTTGCTGCAAGCCCCATCCAATTGGGTGGATTGAAAACACAACCAGACCAAGAATGGAGGTGACCACAAAAGCAGCCCCTGCTGCAGGTGGTGGCAGCCTCTGGTGAGCAGGGGGAGCAGCTCCTACCTCTGGTGAGCTGGGCTGTTCTGTGCTGCTCCTCCCGGACCTGCCGCATCCTCTGCAGGTTGTGGGCACTGGCTGCTGGGTGGTTCACCATGGGGAAGGGGTAATCCCGGCCTGGGCAACAGGGAGACACTGGAATTTATGCACTGAGCAAGGAGGTTTCACTGGATTTACACCAGGGGAAACAACTCCAGCTTTGCCTAAAATAATCATGGGATGGTTTGGGTTGGAAGGGACCTGAAAGATCATCCAGTCCCACCTGCCACGGGCAGGGACACCTCCCACCAGCCCAGGCTGCTCCAAGCCCCATCCAACCTGCCCTTCAACACTGCCAGGGATGGGGCAGCCACAGCTTCCCTGGGCAACCTGGGCCAGGCTCTCACCACCCTCACACCAAAGAATTCCCTCCTCATCTCCAACCTCCATCTCCCTCTTCCACTTTTCATCCATCCCCCTCATCCCATGCCTCCCTGCCCTTGTCCCAAGTCCCTCCCCAGCTTTCCTGGAGCCCCTTCAGGCACTGGAAGCTGCTCTAAGAGACTTCAAAGATGCATCAGAGCATGAGTCAAAGTACAAGATGTTCTGCTACTATTTCCAGACAGCCAAGCATCTGAGACAGATAAATGCAAAGTCAGCAACTTGGAGTGACCAATATTTTTAGAACATGAAGTTGAGGCAAAAATAAATGCTCTGAAGTCAGACTCCAGGAGCAAAAAAACACCTTGGAAGGTGAATCGACAGAAGGTCAAATTAATGGTTTAAAATGAATGAAAATGGAATGAAATTAAAATTTAGGGAGTTACTTTGGACAGAGGGTGGTGAGAGCCTGGCCCAGGTTGCCCAGGGAAGCTGTGGCTGCCCCATCCCTGGCAGTGTTGAAGGGCAGGTTGGATGGGGCTTGGAGCAGCCTGGGCTGCTGGGAGGTGACCCTGCCCGTGGCAGCTGGCACTGGATGATCTTTCAGGTCCCTTCCCACCCAACCCATCCCATAATTCTATGACTAATCCATTTTCAGAAGATCAAATCCTGCCTCCTGCTGGCAGTGAGATGCTTCCACCTCAGGCTTGTGATTCTTTTGGCCAAGTAGCAGCAGCCAAACCCCCAGCAAGGATCCCAAGGAATTACCTATGATACATCCTGCTTCCTTCTGCTCCTCCTCAGATGCTGTCCAGGGCTCATAGATGTGCTTGGAGGAAAAGTTCTTTAGTACAGGCAGGTATTTCCTAGAAAACAGGAACAAGAGGAGCTTTTATACATGTATTTATATTTTATTTCTAGAGAGAAATAGTCACACACTTAAGAGAAGTGGAAACCAACCTCTGCCATGTTCATTCTTGATCATATTGATGCCACCAGCAGTGGAAAATCTCTGATTCATGTTGCACAAACCCCCTGGTTTAAGTTCTGAAACCTCCAAGGGGTGACCCTTTCCACAAGGCCATTTTCCAGGAAAGAATTAGTGGCTTGATTTCAATCTGACTTCAGTTTTTAATTCATCCAAAATATTTTGGTTGGTTTGTTGGTTTTTTAACATTCTAACTGATCCAAACCTTCATCAGATTCCAAAACCATCACCCACTAAAGAGAAAGTCTTTAGTACCTTATCTAGAGAGAAGGAAAACGAGGCTTTGGACCAAAAAGGAATAAAATCAAAGTTTTAGCTGGAATCCATCAGAGACACCAACAAAAGCAGGAAATGTGGCCTAGGCTGGAGCAGGGGAAGGTGTAGGAAGTTCTACTCAAGGCTGGTGGTCAAACATGATGCTGGAGGCACCAGGTGCTCACAGGTCAATACAATCATCACCCCTGAGGCCATAGAATGTCTCTTTGCTTCTTTGGAGACCTTAGAGCAGCTTCCAGTGCCTGAAGGGGCTCCAGGAAAGCTGGGGAGGGACTTGGGACAAGGGCAGGGAGGGATGGGATGAGGGGGATGGATGAAAAGTGGAAGAGGGAGATTGAGGTT